CTCATTAAACTGTTTCTCTGTTATTTATTGTTACCGTGGGGCTCATCTCACTGAATCTGGGGAAAAAGCACCGTAAGCAATGACACTAGATCAATGCCTCCATCCCAGCGCAGGACAATATGCATCCTGCAATTTGATTTGAAATCAGGAGTACGCCAAGTGCCAGGGCGTGGCGTATACGGTGCATGCAAGGAGAACAGCACCTACTCCCAGGGGCTTCCCAGGCAGTAAGGAAGTTACCACTGGGGGTGACGTGCTCTGGTAGATTTGCCATTAGAGTGGAGGGGGAGGGTGGCAGTAAGTTGGGTGACTGACCATTGAGGCCGTTCTGCTTCCCCTCTGCTCTGAGGCTGTTGCAGCAAAGCCCCTTTCGCTCGGCAGGTCGTTTTCCCTTCTCTCCCCTCCATTCACCGCCAGGAGAAGAGAGTGCTGGGCTTGGACAGAGATTTGTTTTTCACACACCCCTATGGACTGGATGGTATGACCCCATTTCTCTTAAACAGAATGTGCTGAACCCCAGGCAAACGCTGGGATTAGCTGAATGGAACAGGCCACTGTTGTGAATTCTCTTCCTCCTCCAGCATTACTTCATGAGCAGGCTGCTGCCTCTCCTGGCTGCAGGGAGAGGTGGAGATGGAAATCTAGACACGTCCTTTGCTGCTGAGACTCAGATCAGGTCTGTGCGGTTTGGGGGCAAATCCTCCGATTTCTGAGCTGGCTACTCTGGATTTATAGTTTGTGGTCGAATTCCTGCCCAGGGAGCTGCCCCCCTTCTGATAGTTGCACACACAGGAACGCTGCTGTCTCGAAACAATAGACTAGATGTGGATTGTTTCTAAGGAGATAGGTAAGAAAATCAACTCTGTGGGTGTGTAAAGGTGTAGGATGATCAATTGCTTTACACGGCACAGACTCACTCCCAGGAACACACTAATCCCTTTAATGTTTTGCTGCCTGTTCACCACTGATTCGGATTTTTCCTTTTACAAGCAATTTTTCTTGTTGTTGCTGCCCTGGTGCTGGTTTCCTTCAAGTGAAGGAAGAGCAGAGAAGATGAAATGCCGTGTAATAGGGAGGCAGAGTCCACCTGGGGCAAAATTCTCATTGGTGGAGAAGCCAAAATACCA